TATGACCGTGCCACTGCACTCCAGCCTAGGCAACAGAGTGAGACTCTGTCTTTAAAAAAATAAAAATTAAAAAAAAAAGATATCTGAAAAATTCAATTCAAGAGTTAGAAATGGTATGTTGTGCTCAGTGACTAACATCACAATGTCAGAAAGTATTTATACCTTCAATTTCCTCTTCAAAGCATACTAAAGATGGGGGAAAGCTCACAGAAACAAAAAGAGGCTTTATAAACTGAGAAGTTACTTACGGTCGGCAGCTTTTCACGAGTGTTTTGAGAACATTTTCTACAGAACTGGGGGCAGGGGGGAGAAAGCCATTTGATAAATTAGACTCATATATTTTAAGAACACATCTAATTCAATAAATAAGTATTTCTAAGATACGCTCGTACACTTAGATATTATCTGTTTACATGTAATAACTAATCCTTCTCTTTCATACAGACTTTTAAGGATTAACTACCTAAACTTCTTAATCTACGCTTTCCTTTGTGTTCATTTTGCTCTCTGCTATGAACTAATGGAAAGAAAACATTACACTGGGAAAAGGATGAATCATTTTCAATCTTTACAAAGTAGGCAGCAACAACCATACTTATCAATGCATGAATAAGTATGCTCAGTGGCTTAAATTTTCAAATAATAATTTTTACTGAGTGCTGTTACATCAAAATACAAGCAGTAGACATACCAAACTCTCTAGTGTGTTTCTATCAGCAGCTGCCACAAATTAGTTTTCATATCAATTGATGAGAGTTCTATCACCCTCCAAGGCACTTTACTGCCAGCAACAATCATCAAAAAGAACAACAGTCATCTCTTTGACCAGCTACTTACAAAGTTAGCTGAATAACATTTAAAACTGTAACTTATTTTCCAACCTGTAGGTGCCTAAAGTGAATATAGGAGACGAACACAAAATTTTGTGTATGAATTTATCATCAGCATTTCTGTTTTTATGAAAAGGCTAATGTGTACTGGTTTAAACACATGACCAGAATGGAATATTTAAATTATTAACTAGGTAACAGTCAAAAGAGTTAAGTGCAGAGAAACAAAATAAACAAAGGGGCATTAGGTAATTGTCAAATGGAATTTTAAAATACATGTATGACTACTTACAGTATGATGTGTGCAAGTAAAAATAAAGTCCACAAATCTCAGGAAAAAAAAGAAAAGAAAAAAAATATATACAGGGAAAGGGTAACTTTCAGGCACCTGACACTTTCTTATTGAGCTTCTTGAAATTCCTAAGTACAGAAGTCTATCCAGCTTCTCTGAAAGCTTAAGAACTAATCTGCAAAGAAATTCCAAGGAATAACACAAAGCAATCTCAACACAAGTAATCAATATATTATTTAACTGAGAGTGAAAACTATAATCTCCTTACTTGGAGCAGTAGGAATCCTCTTTAATTTCAAAACTACTCAGAGAAAAATTAACTGAAGAGGAAACCAGACTACACTCATGCGATGAATTCTAAAATAAAAAAGAGGGCCACATGGCCAGAGGGCTATCATAAAGCATTTTCTCTGATCATCTGAGAGAGGTTCTACTTTCTCTCACTAAAAATGATAAGCAATTCAGAAACATCATTTCTAAGTTTGCTGGGTAAAAAAAGGGCAAACTTCTTTCCAACTACATTTAAAGCTCCCTGACAACCACAACTGTGATTTTTACTTCTGAGGCATTTCCAAAGTGCTTATAACACGGCTATTTGTTCATATATATTTCTTTAGCTATCTATTTACTTATGATACTCAATAAACATATTATATCAGGGCAACAAAGAGCACAGATCTTGGATCTTTTAGTTTGAAGAATCTCATTTAGTAGCAAATTAATAAAATTAACAGCCAAAGTTAAAGATCCATCCAGTTTCAAACTAAATATAGCTCAATTTAAATGCAGATTATTAAAAAAGTAATTCTAAAATGGTAAATTATCTGTCAATGGAAATAAGCAGAAGATACATAATTCTACCAGTCCCTAAAATTTATGTTCTAATTCACTTTACATTTATTTTACTGGTTTTGTGGCAACTCCTTTGAGAGACAGTGCTACACAGAAAATCTGCTGTTTTCACTTAGTAATTTCCCTGTATCGACAAACTTTCACATTATGTCAAAAATGATTCTAGAAACCAAGTCTTAAAAGGCTATAAAGCTGAATGTTTTCTCCAGTTCCCTTCACTCTTCAGAAGAATAGGGAGTTAATTATAACACTTCATAGCATCACTTCACTCATTAGAGGATCAGAGTATGCGGGAATGTGATTTAGTTCATCTAAAAGTCAATTTCAACCCCTTCTTAAATATAAGGCCTGTACCATTGGGTTTATGCTCTTTATCCAGAAAAGGGTACAATCTCTCTAACCTGTGATATCTGTATATTGACCTTTTGTGATTCTTGTAATCTCTCAAGATGAAGGGAACAATGTTTCTGTTTAAAAATAAAATGAAAGGTTAAGGCTAGATGCTAGTAGACTATATTTTTCACTAATTTTTAGAAGGAGTGAATAATCACTACATACTTTCCAACTGTTGGAAATTTATCATATTAAAGTGGTAACAATTCAAAACACTTTTTTTTTTTTTTTTAAATCAAAAGGGATCTACAGAGTGACTAAGCTTTGGTTGGGTTTTCTCATACCCTATTTCCTCTTAGAAAAGGTATGTTAAGTTGAAAAAGACAGCCATAGTAGAGCATGTAATGGCTGACAGTTTGGGTTTATAGTCAGACAGACCTGAATTTGAATACCAGTTCTACTACTTCCTAGTAGTGTAACAAAATAGCTCAGTTTTTTCATCAATATGAGTAATAATACCTACCTCTCATAGCGTTGTTAACAAAAATTAAATGAGACAATGTATAGAAAGCAGTTGTGTGGCCCAGAACTAAGGACAATAAATGTTAATTATTATTTCATACTTAGCCAAAATAAACTATATTTACAATTTCCTTAAGAATTGAAATTTTGTGCTGACTTTGCTTTGACATTGATTCTATTGCCCCTGAGTTGCTATTAATTTATGATTTAGAATATCACATCAAAATAGGAAATTCCTCCCAAACTACCATCTTATTATTATATTAGGGGCAGAAAGTGAGTTCTTTTTTTTTTTGAAACAGAGTCTCACTCTGTTGCCCTGGCTAGAGTGAGTGCCATGGCGTCAGCCTAGCTCACAGCAACCTCAAACTCCTGGGCTCAAGTGAT